CGTCATTGATGGGAAGGGGTGTTGAATTTATGCCACTGCCGATGAAGAGATTTGAGAAATGCAGGCGGCGAGCACATTGGCATTTATTTTTGTAGTATGATCACGACAGAAATATTTTTGAAGTTCGCATCGCTATCCATCAAAACTAGGGGAATAATGTACATACCATAAATGAATCTAGAAGGTTATGCTCTTGTGGGAAATGGTCCATCTACCACATGCCGTGCTCACATGCCATTAGGTGCTTTCAACATACAGGTTTAGGGCTAACCAACTACGTTGATAAATAATATAGTTTTGCTGCTTACTTAAACACCTATAGTGGGTAGTTGCAGCCAGTGGGTACTGAGCATTATTGGCCGCCGGAACCATTTAAAATGATGTGCAACAATGACTATTTGCGTCGAATACAGGTGCAGAAGAGAACGCGTATACGGAACCAAATGGATGTTAGTGATACCGTTTATGCGCGCAAATGTGGTATATGCTCATAAACAGGACACGACTGTCGAAAATGTCCTTCGGCTGGTTTGGGTGGCGGTGGTAATCAAGCTCGTGGTGGGTGTTCTTCTAATATGGCTAACTATCAATGAGTTTATATTGTAATAAGTACCTGTTTTGTTTATGTTGCAAGATGTATCAAATAAAATTATGTTTCTATTGTTGTTAAATGTTATTGATATTTAACATTTTCCAATTGAGTAAATTAATGCATTTCTCCCTCCCGTTCATGTAATCAAAAATAGTATTGGATTAAAAAACGAAAAATATGTGAATATATTTGATAAATATAGTTCAAAAATAGTTGAGTTAAAGGTAGATTTTTGATAAATATGTGAATACACATAGCGCGGTTAAATACTACGTTATGTGAATATATATATAGCGCGGTTAAATACTACGTTATGTGTATTGTCTTGTCGAACTGAAAAGCTGCACGTCTGAGAAAAAGTTATTTTGTATATGTAATCATCTTTAACACGCAAAGCATAATACGGTTAAATACTACATTATGTGAATATATATAGTGCGGTTAAATACTACATTACGTGTGTTGCCTTGCCTATAAATAACGGGCGCATTCTAGTTATTTTCTACGCTTAACAATAACCAATAGCAAAACTTTCCATAAAAGCAAGGTTTTTTTTTACGCTTTAACAAATGTCTGAACACCTTTATGTACCAAGGTGCCAGTGCGGCAAAAAATGTTTGATGAATGACTGATGGGATGATGGTGAAGTTGGACGCCACTACTGGATGTGTGTGAACAAGTTTTATATGGTTCCCGATGAACTATTTTGCAATTTTGAGGTATGGATTGATGAACCATGTAAGCATGAATGCTACAAACGATCTTTGCAGTATCTTCATGATTTAACCTTAAAACAGTGTGAATATGAAAAAGAATATAAACGAGAAATTGCGGAGTTGAAAGAGAAACTAAAAGAGGCAGAGTTAGAAAAAAATAAGATGGAAGAGAAATTTAAGTGGTTGGAGCAGAGAATAATGGGCGGCAGTGACTAAACAATGACATGTATGTGTTGAGTGTACTACTTTATCTTTATGTTCCCGTGTCATGTATTTTCATTAGTTGTACTAAATTTAAATTATGTTAAGTTGTTATGTTTTGTGTTTGTGTTGTAGTATTAAAATAAATAAGGAACGGGGAAAATAAAAATATAATGCGCATATTATGTAAACATAAAAAATTGTTGTTATTATTTACATAAAATAATATTTACATAAAATATATAAAAAAATCAATGTGTCCCACAGCCTGTGTGCTTCAATGCAGCCGTTAGCCTGAGGCGCATCCCATCCCGTCCGGCTACGCTATCGGGATCATCCTCATCACGGCGCCTCTTTATAGCAGGATGCGCTGCAGCATGATCATCAGTGGTGCTGGCAGGATCGGTAGAAGGGGTCGTCGGTCCAGTAGAAACCTACAGAAGAATAAGTCAGCTCATCCCACCATGACCCCGTGCTGCAGCCCTGCCTCGTGGGGCACCCCCACCTCGAGGGGCAGCTCTGCCTCGTAGGGGACCCCTACCTCGAGGGGCACCCCTACCTCGCTGGTACTGTTCTGACGTCACATAAGCAGGGTCGTGTCCCCAACGCTAATCCTCTCGAGCTCGTTGCAATGTCCAGGCAGCCATCTCTGCAACTTGTTGACCGTAATCGTGCAAAGCGGTCGCTCCCTCGCCGGCATGCTGTTGCATCTACAGTCCCATCTGGTAGACTATATGTAGGCCAATAGCCTGCACAACGTATAAAATATAAACTACAGAACACTAAGTTACAGTTATATAATTAATAATAACAGAAAACATACCAGGGCCTCGTGCCGCCCGGCGTATGGAACGTACCGACCGCCAGCTTAATGAATAGGACTCCCGAGAAAAAGTCGGGTAATACGGCGATACCAGGGCATATGGAGCTGAATAGTCTCCGTCTGGATCTGTGGGGGGGGGGGGGGAAATCAGGTCAGCTTGCCGGTCCCAAGTACGGAACTGCGCCTCTAGCCATGCTACATATGCGACGTCCGCTCTGGAACAATCATCCTTCTGATAATGTGTGGCGTCCCATGTAAGCCCCCTCGATATATACTGCGGACCCCCAAACTGGCGAAGTACCCGCTCCGTGGCATGATGCTACACAATATCGAGACACATCAGCGGGACGAAAGTGCTCCAAATCAGTCGGCCGGCCGAGCAATAATCGGGCAGGTCACTGTATGGCGTCCAGATGAACAATCAAATAACAACAGAAAACGTGAGTATGCGCAACACATGTGAAGCTATACCAAGTAAGTTTAGGTACACATTTACCCGTGCGCCCTCCAGCATATCCAACACATCCTTGCAAAGGGAGAGATTATGCTGAGCCTCGTAATCTCATACATATCCACGCCGGAGAACCAACCTCCTAGCTAGAGGGAGAAACGGAGGTGGTACATCCGTAGGTAATGGTGGTAGAGGCGGCTGCAACTGCAGGAATCGCTCCCAGGCCCAAACATAACATACAAAGTTGACGTAAAGTTTAAGAAATTTTTTGACTAGATAGAATTGGAAGGAATGAGCAGAGTATTCGAATATGTTGTCACTCGTAGAAGCAGCAAAAATCCACATACGTCATGCTGGGTGCCCATGCTCGCCCGACACAGATGCATGTACAAGTAGGCGAGAACAGCAGCACCCCGATTGTACTGGGGTAAATCATCTAGCAGTTAAAGATGATGAAGAAAATGCAAGCTGACTAGGTTCCCCGAAGTGTTCGGAAACAAGACCTCCCAAACAGAAGGAGCAGCAGCAACCTCGTATACCAGTGAATATGCAGATCATTTGTCTCCCCGGTGATGTCGGGGTACAATATCTCCAAATGCTATCGAATAGCTATCAAACTCATGCGACTGGCCCCTGAGTGTACAGTCTCATCCTGTGGCCTGAAACCAGTGAGCTGTTGTAGAATGTCCAAATACTGCTCACGCGTCATCTCTCTCATGGCCTGAGGCAGTACAACGGGCAGTCCATTAACAGGCATCCCATATAAAACCTCTAGGTCTTGCAGTGTGATGGTGGCCTCGCCAATGGGGCAGGTGGAAAGTGTGCATCTCCGGTCGCCACCGCTCTATTAGGGCCGTGATCAAAGACCAGTCGAGTTGCAGTCGCCCGATCTCCAAAATCCTGTAGAAGCCCGTATCCCGCAGGCGTTGGACTACACGGGGGTGGAGATCTCTGTCTTTCATAAAATCCCACATATCGTCCACTCTCCTAGCGATGAGAGTCTGGGCCAGTAACTCTCCCTCCCATATGTAGGCGGAACTATGATCGCCTTGTAACACTAATAGCTCATCAGAGACAGGTCCGGGATGCATAGGCGGCACGTTCATATCGTCTACTGTAAATTAAATAACATTAATTGTATGTTTAATCTGTAAATTAAATAATTATTTTTTATAATTATACAATATTTAATTGGACAGAGTATATATTTATGGGTTCCAGGCTCGATATTTGATGCCCAGTAGGACCAAGCTATCTTGAGTTCTTGTATGTGTCAATTTTATTATTTTCGTAATTTTGTATGTTTGTTTTGTAAATTAAATAATTAATTTTTATCATATTTAATTGGACAGAGTATATACCTATGAGTTCCAGTCTCGATATTTGAGGCCCAGTAGCATCAAGCTATCCTGAATTCTTATGTGTGTCAATTTTAATATTTTTTATAATTTTGTATATTTATTTTGTAAATTAAATAATTATTTTTTATCATATGGACAGAGTTTGTGTTTGATCTATCACTATAAAAGATACTTAAACTACAAGGATTCTACGCTAAAAGGCTCTATATTTTACTACGCTAAAAGGGCACTAGTCTTTAAGCAAATAAGTAATCTAAACTAGGTAAAAACAACAAATACATTTTAATCACAAAACAAACACAAAACACTAATATCTTAGTCCGGATAAAAATAACATACTAATTTAATCGTAAAAAAAAATACAAAACAACATAGAAACACATTCAAAATAACTAATATGCATTATTATACGAGTTTCGACATAAACTAAATCGGAATNGCTCTTTAAAAAAAAAACTATATATAAAAATATCACTATTTTTTTTAAACACACATTTCAATCACACTCTTCGAAAACAACCACAAATGGGTTCTAGACTCGATAAAACTACCAGCAGAGATATTCTGCTAATTATGAAGGACATCCATGTGATATGTTCGTTGGTAGGTGAGTATGTAATTGATTTGGAAAGCATGGGGTCCAGTGGGTACTAAGAAGAGAAAATTTAATTGCTGAAGGACGAAGGAAAAGGAGGAAGAAGAAAAGCAAAAAATAAATAAAAAATTATTATTATTATTATTATTTTGTATTTTGTCGAAATAAAAGCCGAAAAAACAATTACATGCTAAGGTCCATCCACTATACATCCTCTCCAGAAAACGAAAATATATTATAATTCCAATCAAACTGCATGTTCAGATACACAACTATCCAGTAGAACAAAAGCAAGCAAAAGTGAGCCGTTTAAACAATGTTACATCAGATTAAATGATGATTTATGCAGCAAATTAAATTCAAGTTGATATCCTCCTTTAGCACATTGATTCTCAGATTTCTCAGGCATCCCTTGTACTGTTCCCATAACAAGGCAGTTTCTTCATCACATATGACATGCTCCAACTTCACTAGATTTATCACAGAACGGGGAAGCTCATCGAACCCCAGCCGACTTCCCATGCAGATTCTGTAAAGAAGACAATGTTGAGGTTTTTTGTTATTTAAGATGAAATAGTCTTAAAATGAGGGTGAATGAGAAATGGAGGAAAAATAAATTTTTTGAGTAAAATTTTAAGTTTCCCCCTATTGACAATGAGACATTGTCCCATATTGGAAGAGGAAAAGATTTTTGGTGGGTATATATATAATTGCTCTTCTTGTAACTCTTAAAGAATTAAGAAGAAAGCAAGTATCGCGCCATTGTTGTCGCTCGCTCGGCTTCGGCTTCGGATTTGGTCAAATGATTGATTAATTTTTTGGACCAAATTTATTTGTTAATGGTAAATATTAACGTAAGATTATCCGCATTTGTAACGGATATGTTCCAATCCGTGTATTGACCACCAGCTGCAATAGCAGCCGCCTAATGCTCTTCCCACCATGGCCAAGTGCTTGCTCCACAAACAAGCTAGTGCATGCTCCACCATGGAGGGTGGAGGGTCGTTCATCTTCAAAGCTGACTGCTATAAATATGTGCAGCAGCTGTTGAAGAAAGACACACCACACCAAACTGAAAACGCTCAACTTTGACTATACATTGCACTTCTTCCTCTCAGCATTTTCATACGATTTTCTGAGTTTCTACTCCTTTGTTCTGCATTGTTTTAACTTCAAACAAAGCAACTGTAAGTGTGATTTGCTACCGAACTTTGTGTTCGTTGAAACACTGGGGTTTGAAGTACCGCTACACCAGTATGTGATTCGTTCTATCCTGGGAGGAAATAATCCATAACCTTGGGTACTAGAAGGGGATTAAATTCCTTAAAAAAATACTGTGAATTCAGTGGGCTCGAATTAATTACTGTTTCATTACGATAACTTATATTTTCCAGAATTATTATTTATAAATACAGCAATATTGGCGGGACTAACAGACAATTGACCTATTTCCATTGGCATGGAATCCATATCTACACAATCATATACATCAAGAAAACACAACCTCTGATGTTTCACAATGGACTCTGGTAGCTCGGTTAATTTTGTACAAGATTGAACCCTTAGTATTTCCAAATTTTCCAACTTTCCAACTTCTTCAGGAAGTGCAATTAGTTCTTGACAATAACAAATGCTGAGCTTCTTTAAATGAACAAGATCACATATATCAGCAGGTAGTATTACTAAGTCATTGCAGTACTCCAAACTCATCTCTACAAGATTTGGCCACATTGAAGACATCTTAACAACTGAATTTGAAAATGCCTTCCCAACCTCACACATGATCAAGGATATTTTCCGCAAATTTGTGAGCTGAAGGTTGCCTGTAAATATGGATGCAATAGAGATGCGCTCCAAATTGATTCTGTTCAGATTGGGCGAAGAGCAAAGCACTGAAAAGTTACTTAATTCAGCTAGGGAGAAGCCATTGTTTGTCACAATCAGAGCTTTCAATTGGCTCATTTTCTCCATAAATTGGGGTAATTTGTAGGTGCAGACCGTTGTTTGAAAGTTCAAAACTAGCACTTCAGCATACGGAAATTGCATGTCGTACCAGTCAATGGAGAAGGTCTCCTCTGCAAGTGACATTTACGGAGTCATAATAGATAGAATAATGAAGTGAGTTAGTGCTACCTTTGGTTAGAAAAAGTGAAGGTTGGGAGAATGAGTAAATATTGACTTGGGAAGGAAGTAAAAAGAACGATCTCTTTTTCTTCCTTCCAACTATACCAAACAATTTGAAGTAAAAAATCAATATTCCCAAAAATGGAAGTAAAAGCAGTTTCTCTCTACTCCCACCTTCTCCTATCCTTGAAAGTAACATAGCATTATTAGGGAATAGAAAGGGAGAGGAAACCTGTGAATATAGACAAAAGCCGAGCCTGTACTGGTTGCAGTCTCTGGTCAAACCACCACTTGGGAAAGTCATTCCCCTTAATGTTGACATATAGTCTCCTTCTCTCTTCAACTGGCTTCTCATCACACCGGTGGATGGCCAACTCTCTCAGCAGATCATGCTGTGTGATGTAGTGCACATTATACAATCCAAGACAGGCAGGTGCATCTTTTCTGTAAAACATAATGAATTTGATAATTATACTATTAGATCAAGAACCTATTCAACTAAGAGTAATAGTAGATATCTGTAATTTGGTAAGTGCCGAAACTAGATACACAAAGAAGTTAGCAAATGGAATTTTCTGCTGAATGATGTGCCATTGCTCTTTCCTCATCAAATTAACTAATTCTTGCCAACAGAATCGAGGAAGTGGAGAAGGACGATATAATGGCCGGAAATAGGTAAAGAAATAATTAGCGACAGAACATGCTTGTCCCTAATTGTTGCTCTTCTTCTATATGCTCACTTCTAAGGAACAAAATAGATCATTCTCAGTAGCAAATAGTATATTCCTTTTAGGCTGCATCTTTACTCTTTTTATCCATATCGCGTCAGGCTGGCCATACAGTGATCCGCCAACAACTTTAAGCGCCAGCGGAAAACCACTACAACTTCTAATGACCTGCCATTGCTTGCCATCAGTTAAAACTATAAAAAAAAACAGCACTAATGCTACCCCTCAGAACAGAGAATTTTTACATGTTTCTACATTACATATTGTTCAAGAATTTGGTTAACCTACTAAGAACAAGAGTCATTCATTCTTCCATAAAATCAATCAACTATGCCTCAATCCCAAGTTCTTTTACAACACACACAAAATTTCACTGTTTATGCTTCAGACATGCATTTTCATGTGATCAGGATGGCTACAAAATAATCTAATCTTATGATATTATATCTGTTACCTTATCCACAAGATCAGGTCCCATATTAGGGGTGCCATTTCTGAAGGCTGAATGGTGGAAATGACAATGCAAAATACTACTGACAAACATGAGCAGGATAAGTTAAAAGAAACAAGTCACAAAGTCAATGCTCTAATCCAAATACTCACACCGTTTCATTTTAGAGCACGAATTTTAAGAATGTAAACAGATTGAGTCTAGTGGTTTAAAGTTTAAACTAAAGGTGTGTGTTACATACTAAAAATAGCCTTTGAATCTTGTGGTTCTAATCATTCCATGTCCGAGTTTATAAATGTTTGGAATTAAAAACTTACTACTAAATATATTCTTTTTGAAACAAATTAACAAGAAAACCAAGACACATAAATTGAACTCCATATATGAGTAAGTGACATGTCATCCTTACCTTTGATATCTTCATCTTGACAAAGCTTAGATGCTAAAGTAGTCTTCCCACAGCCAGCAGAAGCAGAAATGACTAGCACAGGATCAATATCCTCTTTAGCAGCATTAACTTTAGTTCTTGAAGGGGCACTTGTAATCCAACGAAAAAGTCCAGAACTATAAATTCAGGTACATCAGACCATCCTGAAAATCCTCTTGAACTCCCTGCATTCAGCGATGATTCTTCAAAGAAAGAGCAGATTTTATCCAATTTTTGACTATTTTCAACAGTCATCCCAAGACTACGTTTACTGTCTCTCCACCCACAAAGAAGCCCGTGCATTTGAAAAAACTGCAGGAGTGAGTTTTCCAACTTGGTCAGTTTCCTAGAGTAGTGCCATTTTTTCACCATGTCGTAAGATTTAGCTTTGGAGCACTTGAGCACGAGCTTCTCCCCGTCCTGCAACTGCTTCTTGAGCAGTTCTATTTCTTGATCTCGGCCTTCCAACTTCCTGTTCAGATTCTCTATGTCCTCAAATACAGGCTTGATATATTCAAGAGTCATTTTCAAGTGGTTCATCTTGGATCGGAAAGTGGCAACTCTTACGCCAACATCTATAACGGACTTGAGGAATATATCAAACACTGGTCCCAAAGCAGCACCTCCTACCAGACTCCCCGCCATATCTACACCTGACTTGGGAATTAAAACATGCAAAATTGCTACATTCTTCCTACGAAGGGTTTCAATAGTTCATATGTATATATATAAAAAAGGATTTGCTAGCTTATCATTTTCCAAAAGAAGGTTTCGATTGAACTCTTTTAGCTCCACCACTGACCACTGAGTGTGACTGTGAGCAATACTCTTAAAGGAAACTTAACACAATGGTATTCTTCGTTATCATTCCCAAAGTCTTTCTGTAATTTCCAAGATACTTCTCACTCAAAAAAGCTTATTCTCTTTTCTGCAATGTCACATCAAGAAATTAATTGGAAACTTCCTACGAGTATGGAATCAAACGACAAAAAATAGGTGAGAAAAAAAGTGACTACGATTTTATGTATAGCGCGATTATTCACCGCACTATAACTTAACGATACATTTGTTCGTTAAAGTACAACGCGGTGAATAACCGCATTATATTTGAACTTTGTTGATGCATCTATACTTTACTGACCTATCAATAATTCATATGGGTATAGCACATGCATAATAGGCGCTATATATATGTAGCACGTATAATGCATGCGCTATACATCAAATAATTGTATTCCGGACTGATTTTTTTCTTATTTATAGAGTTTCAGAATTTAGTAAAAATCCATTCAAGATCCTTCAGATCTTCCGAAATATTTATTCGTTAAGTTATTTTACATTTTGTTATAATGTCCATAGAACGAAAAATTAGGGTTCCATTATATTGGGGGATGAGGTTGTAGTGGAGAATAACTTAGTACGTTATAGTTGTTCTCTACAGTGTCATGTTAAGTTGCCACTTACAATGGAGTACGATAGATTGGCATTTTTGTTATGTAAAAAAATGAGTGTGAGCAAACGTTCGGTTAATATTAAAGTTTCCGAAAGATATTTGTATCCTGTTACTCCGCAGGGGGTTGCTTGTTATGCTGAGTTTAACATCAAAGACGATGAAACTCTGACAATTTTTTTGAGGACTACGGATGAACACCAGGAACTTCTTGTGATAAAAATATTGGAAATGTACGTCAAGGCTGAAGACGTTTGCAATATTGGGGTTCCCAAAATAGGGATATCCCTCAATCATCGGGTGATTTTTTTGGAGCAGTTTTATCTGAACAAGTTTCGGATGAAAGAGTGTGGCCAGATCTAAATTTATCTCCACGGGCGAATGAGGAATAAGGACATAATTTCTCCCCAAGTTTACATAATCCACAAGCTGAGTGGTAAACTTCATTTTCCCTTTGTGTTACGATATTTATTTTTATGTATTATATTTGTATTAACACTCATATATTCCACATGGGGTACCGGTCAAATATGAATTTTACAAGTTATAAACTAACAGACAGTTGAAATATGCCTAGTTTTGGTGTGTTGGATCATTTCGGTCCATCCGAGAGTCATCATCAATAAGATACTGTGCATCATGGGATATCAACATATTATGATTTGTAAGTTAAGTGATAAAGTTTATATGTAATGTTTGAATGAATTTGAGAAACTCATTATTTTATTGGTTGTGCAGTAAAAACGAGAAACTTGAAGATCCTGTCCTTATTCAATTGCCCGAAGATGACATATTTAATCGGGATCTGGTAGATGTACAGAGTCAGGAAGATGATAGTGATTATGACAACAATGCTTATAAATCTGGAGATGACACACCCTTCCCTGATGAGAGTGATGATGATGAGGACGAGAATAATGAACCTGATTTGACGAGGGAGCATGCTCCATCTCCCGTTAGACCAAGAGTGTACGAGTCCCATGTATCGTTTCATTCAAGGGAGATTCCCTACCTTGATCAGTTGCCAAGTATACCGGATGTGGATGCCTTTACAAGGAATTTTGACGAAATTTGAACAATAATGTGGGATGAATCTAGAGCAACGATGTTATCAAAGGGCATGCTTTTTGCTGATAATGTGCGCCTAAGCAGCGCGGTGCGAATGTACAACATAAAAGAGTGTCGTGAGATCATGGTTCATGAATCATCTCCTGAAGTATACAAAGTTATTTGTCGTAGATGGTTTCAAGGTTGTAATTGGAAGCTGCGTGCGAGAAAGTTGAAAATACATATGTGGATTGTGAAGAAATACATTGGCACCCACACTTGTGAAATGGATACATTCAGTAGGAATCATTTTAACTTGAATGTTGACTTGATTTCTATTATTTTGATTCCACACATTGAAGCGTCCATAAGGTACAAGATCAAAGAGTGTATAACATCTGTCCACCAGGTATATGGATGTACCATTACCAAAAGAAAGGCATTTCTCGGGCGTAAATGTGCGTTTGAAATTATTTATGGTAACTGGGATAACTCCTTTGCCGCTCTACCCAGGTACATGGATGCATTGCAACACTTTGACCCCAGGACTGTTATTGAATGAAAACTTGAGCGGAGTCCGGGTATACCAGAATACATATTCAGATATGTGTTCTGAGAATTTAAACCATCCATTAATGATTTTGCGCATTGTCGGCCGGTAATACCCATAGACGACTCTCATGTCCATGAAAAGTATGATATTAAATTGTTGATCTTTGTTGTAGTAGATGCTAATTGAAGTATATTTCCACTAGCATTTCCTATTTATGCCAATGAAAGCCAAGAGACATGGACATTGTATTTGAAACACTTGAAGGAGCACGTTGTCAGACAGCGTTCAGGTATTTGTCTAATATCTGATTGGCATGGTGGTATTTTAAGTTTTGTACAGAATTTACGTGCATGGCAGGAACGGTATGCCTACCACCGTTACTGTATTAGGCACTTGAAGGCCAACTTCCAGAGTGCTTATCCGAATAAGGACTTATATGATTTAATGTGGATGGCTGCAACAGATCACCAAGAGTGTAAATTCAGGAAGCGAATAGAATTAATTAGGTAAGAAGACCCAGAAGCCTATCATTGGTTGATGCGATAAGAGCTTGATAAGTGGACTTTGTATAAGGATGGTGGTAGAAGATGGGGACTTCTGAGTTCTGACTACAAATGTGTCAGAGTCTTTCAACGGGTTATCAAAATTTGCACGTTGATTGCATGTCACTTCCATAGTGCGGATGTCATTCAAGCAGATGGCAGAGAGGTTTGTTGAAAGATCTAGACGTGCATCATCATTGATGTAAATGGGTGTTGAATTTATGCCACAACCAATGAGACGATTTGAGAAATATAGGAAGCGAGCACAATGACATTCATTTTTGCAGTATTGCAGCGAGCGAAATATTTTTGAAGTTCAAACTAGTTTGCATCACAATCGCGGAAATAATACACACACCGTCAATGAAGCCAAAAGATTATGCGCCTCTGGAAAATTGTCAATCTATCACTTGCAATGCTCGCATGCGATGAAGTGCTTCCAACATACATAATTTGTTGCAACGAGGTACGTTGATAAAGAATATAGTGTTGCTGCATACTTAAACACCTATATTGGAGAATTGCAGCTAGTGGGTGTTAGGCATTATTGGTCGCCGGAACCATTTAAAATTATGTGTAACAAGGATTTTGTGCATCAACGACAAGTGCAAAAACGAATGCGGATACGGAACCAAATGGATGTTGGTGATACTATTTATGCGCGTAAATATGGTATATTTCCTAAACAGGACAAGACCGCCATAAATGTCCTTTAGCTAGTTTTGGAAGCAGTGGTAATTCAGCTCCAGGTGGCAGTTCATCCAATGTGCCAAATTATCAAGAATAAACATAGTATTTTATTGCAGTATTTTTGTTGTACTAAATGTGTGTAAATGTTCAGTTTGCAAAATTTATGAAATAAAATTATGTTTCCAATGAGGTTAAAGCTAATTGATATTTAGCATTAAAGATTCAATACAATAATTTAACATACACCCCAAGAAATAAATAACAATTTTCATTCGCTATTATCATCACTATCTGGCACTATTTCATTGTCGTTGTCTTCTTCTTCTTCTTCAATATCTTGTACGCACCAATACCGAGAGCATCATAATCTATGTCCCAGTTGACACACATTTCTCGTATTTCATCGCTATCATCAATAAGACCACTTTCTTGATTTCTACAATAATATGGGACTCCTACGTAACGTCTGTGGTAGAAATTTAGGTAGTCCCTCCTACTCGATAACTATTGGGAAAACAGGATAATCATTGTCTCTATGCAATTTTTCTTGTTCGAATAAATCCCAATACTGATCCTCTATTCCTTCCAGGCATTTAAGATCATCCATTGCATGATGAACGGCTAGTATATTTTCCATCTCTAGAATCTCCCTCAATAATGTGCCCTGCAACTTTGAGATCAATGTGTATATTGATAGGCTTATTTTTCAAGAGGTGTAGAACATCATACCACTTGTCATCAACCAAATCAGTATAGCAACCGAGCATATGTTTTTCAAGGTAGAGATCGATTGTGTAATGACGTGTTCTATGTGGATCTTTTGAACCACCTTCACTTTTTTACCTCTTCTTAAACCACTTATTAAAAGTTAGTGCCATTTATGAAATAGATGTTGTAATGGTTCTTCAAATGGTCTTTGAATATTGATCTCTTGGTTCAACTTAAGAAGAGCTAAACTGCACGAACTTGTATATTAAACGTAGCACATCACCAATATGCATTAAGTGTACTGTCATGTCGACCAAAAAAAGTTGGCGACCTAAAAAAGTTGGACCCACTCGTACCCTAAAGAGTCATTATCACGTGAAACATAGCGCCTCACCAATATGCGTTATGTGTATTGTCATGTCGACCTGAAAAAGCTGGACCTACTCTGTCACGACCAAAAATCCACTAAAAGTCGTGATAGCGCATAACACCGTCGTCAGGCAAGTCAACGGTAATTGGTCACTTAATTGCTCATTTTAGCATCTTGAAATCATAATTTTCATTAATTAAATAGTATGAAATAGAATTTATAGGGTGGATAATAATATTTACGCGAACCACAAATAATGAACAACCCGTAGGAACCCCCAAAACCCGGTGTCATAAGTGCATGAGCATAAACTAGAAAATATAATAAAGTATAACATCTGTCTGGAATACAATTGGATAGGAGAATATAAATAACTCTGATGGAGACTCTGCAGGCTGCGGATCATAACATGAAATGCAGCTCACGATAAAGTCCCCGCAATAGTCGCGCCTCTGCGCCCAAAAGAC